TGTAAATGTTGTTTATTGTGCGTCTACTGCAGGTCAGGAATTGTTTGCAGAGTGAAGTACTGCAACAGCTTGCCCGACATCCCGTTTGATCCCAAATTCATCACCTACCCATTCGATCAGCACAGGTGAGTTCATGTACCCACTTATCTGCCTTCTCTGTTGACTCCAACCTGTTCCAGAGCAACACAGTTTGTGTGTGTGTGTGTGTGTGTGTGCGTGTGTGTGTGTGTGTGTGTGTGTGTGTTTTGTCTAGGTTTGTCCAGTATAAAGCCACTTCTCTTGAGAAGCAGCATAAACACGAGCTCCTGACTGAACCGGATCTCGGGGTCACCATTGACCTCATCAATCCAGACACCTACCGTATCGATCCTAACAGTAAGTTTAGATCAATGCACACCAAAAATATGTGCATTGTTTTTTTTTGCTTGTTTTTTTTTTAAACTCACATCTGAAACACTGAATACATTAATTCTAAATGTAAAAATAAAAAAAATACTTTAAAATTTTCAGTTCTTTTGGACCCTGCTGATGAAAAACTGTTGGAAGAAGACATCCAGGCTCCATCCAGTTCCAAAAGGTAAGGCTTATTAAATAAGCAGTACAATGTTTTACCTCCTTTCTAGGTGTCTTTTTTTTTGTTTTTATAAATAATATACCATCTTTTTTTTTTTTTACTGTTAAGGTCACAACAACATGCCAAGGTGGTACCATGGATGAGAAAAACAGAATATATTTCCACAGAGTTTAACAGATACGGCGTTTCTAACGAGAAAGTGGAAGTCAAGTAAGTTGGACTCTCCCGACTCTCCGTTTGAGAGCCTCTGTGTTTTTCGGTGGTTCTGTTTAAATCGGACCTTGTGTTGTGTTCAGGATCGGAGTGTCTGTTAAACAACAGTTTACCGAAGAAGAGATCTACAAGGATCGGGACAGCCAGATTTCTGCCATTGAAAAGACATTCGAGGATGCGCAGAAATCAGTGAGTGGGCATATTTTAGCATCGATGGGTCCTTAAAATGTGATGGGTGCACAACTCTGATTCTGAATAAAGAATGAAGCATGAGTATAAATACGATAACTTCTTTCAGTAGTTTACAAAAAGCAAAATATTGGTACAATATTACAATTTAGTACAAATATCAGAAAAGGGGATAGGCTGAAGCCAAAGGTGAGCAATGCCTGTTGTGTTCAAAATTCATAAATCACACAGAAACTGCCACACAGAAAAATAGTACAACAGTCAGTAAAAATGTCGCCCACCTTACACCCATCTGACTTTTAAATATCTTAAAGTCCACATTTGTTAGCTTAATTTGTCTCGCCATCTGTTTACTTGTTTTGAGCTCATCCAGATTTCCTGCAGAGATGATCTTTGTTGTAAATTGTTCTCCTCTCCCTTTTTCTATGTTTCCATTAAGTGTAATTTACCTATTTCCATTTTAAAATGCATTTTTTTGTCACAAAAACAATCTGTTTTGTTGAGTTATTTTGTTATACTCTATGATTCTATTCCAAATCTAAAAAGTTAGGATGTGCATACATGTTTTTAACAGTTTTTTGTTGTTGTTGTTGTTGTTGTTTCTCATTGTTTGCAGATCACACAGCATTACAGTAAACCCAGAGTCACTCCTGTGGAGGTTTTGCCTGTGTTCCCTGACTTTAAGGTGGGCTTACTGCTCAATAAATGATTTCAAAATCTTTTTTTTTGTGTAAATGTTATTTTACAGTCCAAGTAATGTGAAGAGAAGACTAAATGTGGGGGGGGGAAAACAGGTTTGAATAATGAGCCTCATACATTTTCCCTTTCAGATGTGGATCAACCCATGCGCTCAGGTCATCTTTGACTCTGATCCTGCACCTAAAGACATATCAGGGCCAGCAGGTGTGGAAATGATGTCTCAGGCTATGATCAGGTATACACTTTTTTTGTGTGTGTTTTTGAGTGTTAATGCTTACCATCAGTACCATATTTTTTACTTAAATGCAATTTGTGTTTATTACAGAGGAATGATGGACGAGGAGGGAAATCAGTTTGTGGCCTACTTCTTGCCCAACGAGGAAACGCTTCGCAAGCGGAAGAGAGACTTCGAAGAGGGAGTGGATTACATGGCTGAGGACCTGTAAGGAAAAGTTTTGGATCAATATGGAGCTTATGTGTATAAGCCAGGGGCAATAAAAAAAAAACATTTTTTGCTTTCAGGTACGACTACAAGATCGCAAGGGAATACAACTGGAACGTCAAGAACAAAGCCAGCAAAGGTTATGAGGAGAATTACTTCTTCATCTTCAGAGACGGCGACGGGGTTTACTACAACGAGCTGGAGACGAGGTAAATACTCAGACTATGACACATTATTTTCAAAAGGAGGATGATGGTTTGCTTGATTCCTTATTAAAAAAAAAAAAAACTTGACTTGTAGGGTACGCCTGAGTAAGAGGAGAGCCAAGGCTGGAGCACAGTCTACTACAAACGCTGTGCTGGTGTGTAAGCACAGAGATATGAATGAGAAGGAACTGGAGGCCCAGGTGAGTCTCCTGCTCTGTTTTTAGATATATGAATGTCGGGGCATATAAACTGAACTTGGGAACCATTTACTGCACAATAGTTACGTGACCAAGCTCAGTCAGTTGTATGTGACCCTGTAAATCACAATCATCAAGTTGGTTCTCATATCTAAAGTCAGGAAATATTTATTTAAGGTGAAATGGAGGGGTTGATGGGAGGAGCATAAGGTAGGCAAGTAGAGTTAAGACTTTAAGGAGAAATGTTATCTGTGAACTGTAGTTTAGAGACCTAACTGACCAGCATCCTACAGGGGAATTTAAAAGCTTTGTGTGAGCTGTGGAGAGTGAAAATGTCATATTACAATAAATACATAACTTAGAAAATGGTTATTTAAAAGTAATTAATTTATTAAAACTGCAAATAATTACAGAAATAATTTCTTAAAATAAATGTAATATTTGTTCGCAAGAGAGCGTTAGCCGGTGTTAGCTAGTAGGCAGGGCTAACTTTGATCCTGTCCGTAGTCAGTGGCAGCTTCCCAAAGTGAGGTCTCTTGTGAATTTTTTAGTGATATTTCTGAGCAAACTGGAGATATAGAGGCTGGAGTTTCTCACTCAGAGTTTGCAGTAAACAAATTACAACAATTTATTGAAGTTATTTTCACACTTCCTGTGAAAATATTGACCCAGAGTCTTAGCAAACTTGTACTTGATTGATCCCCATAGGGAAATTTCGTATTTATTGACAATCTAATCCATCTGAAGTGTTAAATGTTAGCAAATACAAATATAGTTGTAAGTAATATAACATTTATTTAAATAAAAAAAAAAAAAAACACCTAAGTGTGCCACCTGAATGCATGTTTTTTTTCAGGGTTTTTTCCAACCACATACATGGTTGAATATATTCACAGGGGGGTTTGTTTTTATAAAATGTGCGATAGACTTGTAAAAACATCTAAAAAGTTCCAGTTATGAGGCCAACATTTGTAGCTAGTTGCATCAGAACAGCACTTCCTCTACCAACTCCTTCCCCTACTGTCAGTTCAAGCAGATTTAATCTACAATTCCACCTGCTGTTTAAAATAGGAACTGTCTTGGACCTCTTCAATTTCATTTTTGAACTGCAGCAGAAATTCCAATTAGAAAGTTCTATTCTTAGAAAAAAAACAATAAAATTGGTGGGGGTTTTTTCGAAAAGTGTGCTTATTTCATAATTATCTGATTTAAAAGACTGAAAAGTTCAGTAATGATTCATTCACTGTATGTGTTATGCGTTAAAGATTTTTAGAGGGTTTTTATTAGTGTTTTGAAATAATTATGAAAGTTTTAACTACTTTGTAGTGTTTTAGAGCTTAAAACAAGCAAAAAAAAACTACTAGAAGAAGTAGTTTTATGGCTCTATCAGTGAATTATTTGGATTACTTTTTAGTGTTTGACAGCTCACTGATGATTTTATTGATATTGGCTTTCAGGAAGCACGTAAAGCTCAGCTGGAGAATCATGAGCCGGAAGATGAGGAAGAAGACATGGACATGGACAAAGACATGCAAGATTCTGGTTAGTTCCTTAGAAACGAACTTCCTCTTACACAATCTGGATTTTCAATGACGTTTTAATTTGCACTTGAGTAAACAAAAAAATCAAATAAAACTTCCAAATTGTGTCTCCAGGCGACGAGAAAGAAAAGGGCAGCGGCAGCGAGGCAGAGAACTCCGGCAGCGAATCCGAGAGGGAAGAGGAAGACCAGGAGCAGAGCGGCGAAGACGACGAAGAGGACGAGGACCGGGGCAAGAGGCGGAGGAAGCCCAGCGGCAGCGGGAGCGAGAGTGGCGAGGAGAGGACCCGGGAGATGCGAGACGAGGAGGAGATCTTCGGCAGCGACGACGACAGCGACGACAACGAGCCCAAGAACTCGGCCAGGAGCAGCGGCGAGGAGGGCAGCGGCAGCGAGGATGAGGCAGAGAACAGGCGAAGCCGCAGCGCCTCCCCAGCACACAGCGACCACAGCAGCGACCGCTCGGAGACCCACGCTCCGAGCGGAAGCGAGAGGGGATCGGACTCCTCTGAGGCCAGCGACAGCGAATAAGACCCTCAGTCTGCTTGAGCTTCACGTTCGACTCCAGAACTTGACCTTCTCGCTCTGCCGGCGAGCCGAAAGCGTCGTCGTCAACGTCCATAGCTACTTGATGCACTCTTTGCGTTTGAACTTGATCCGTCTCCATTTAGTCTAGATTTTATTTGTAGATTTAGATCGCACAGTAGTAGCTGGATTTTGTTTTCACCACTAATCTCTTCAAGATTGTGTGTAAGATCATGTAAAAATTCTTTGTTCTCTTTATGTATGACTTACTATACTGATACCGCTTTTGAAATGGATAATAAATCACTGGCTACATTTTGGTCATAAAGTTGGTTTGTTTTCAATTCTTTGAGCTGCATGGAAACTCAGATGCAACATTTTATAAGATTATCAATAATTGAAATTGAATAATTTATTTGAGTCAAACAAGTTTATTTTGTAAAGCACATTCCAGCAACACGAAAACATAAAAAAAATCTTACATCACATAGTCAGCAGTTTTGAAAACCAATAACAGACGTTACATTTTGTTAAGTGCCATCATCAAAATCATTAATACACACCATGTTGGTCAATGATTTGTTCATTATAGTTCAAACTCAGTGTTTCAGCTGTTTTGCAGTTTTCTAAAAGCTTGTTCCAGATTTGAGGTTCATAGAAGCAGAATGCTGCTTCGCTGTGTTTGGTTCTGGTTCTCGGGATGCAGAATAGATCAGAACCAGCTCACTTTATTTATGTAGTTCCAATTCTCAACAAATGTCATTGCATAGCACTTTACAAAATGAAATCAATCAAATAATATAGAGTTACCAAACCTTTTTACCTTTTTAAAGGAAAAGCTTAAATTTTATTTGTTCTTTCTTTGCTTCTTCCTTTAACTTTTTAAAATTTTATTTTAGAGGAATACTTCAAATTACTTTCATTCGTTTTATGTGTTGCAGTTCTGATCGAGTCATTACTAAACATTCTTACGTAACACCAATTACATAAGAATTGGTGTTAAATATATATTTGAGATATATATTTAACATACATTTCTATATTCATATAAACGTATGAATATATTTAACATGGTTTGGCTTGAAATCAGGGCTAAAACGTACGAAGAACAGCTGTTTGATGTTTAGCTTACACTTACAGAATTGAAAAACATCAACTTCAGTGGAAAAATGTATCTATGACCTGCTTAAATTTTAAGGTTAATCCTATGTTACAATATTAAGGAAAAACAAGCAAAGCATTTAAAATGACTTAGAAACCAAATCTCTGTTGCTGTAAGTGAATGTTTTACTGTCACAACAAACAAAACAGGAAGTCAAATTCAGGATCTTGCTTAGGGAATGAAAATCTGGTTTGAAAGTTGCAGAAGGAGCAGTTTCAGCGAAAAAATGCCAGCTGGTTCTTGAGCCATTCTTCCGTCAGGTCGTCGGCATTCCTGGTTTCAAAGATCTTTCAGAGTAAAAGAGATGCAGTTAGTTAAACAAACAAGATCCAAATAATGGAAAGAACAACAGTATTTTAAACTTTTACTTAATCGTTGTTAAACTTTTACATAACATGAAGGCCTGGCTAATTTCTGCCAGTGAATGTTTTTTCAGTGTCAGCCATTTTACTCATCAATCAGAAATACCTTTGTGAGTTCTGCGATTTGGACCAGTCGATTCTTGCTGCCTGCATACATCATCTGCTGCTCTGGCTTACACCCTGCATAAAATGAGGGTCAAATTAACATACAGTGCTGAGAGAGAGAGAAGTTTAGTTTAGTTTAGTTTAGTTTAGTTTAGTTTATTTCAGACAAACCTTTCACCGACAGTGTAAACAACACCAAAAAAAAACAATAAAAAAAAAAACACATCACATCGGTGATTATGAGTCTGAAAAGGAGTATGATGAAGTATAACATGTAATCATACCCATACATTCCAGCTGTAATTTATCACAGTATTTTCAATATCCAGTATCCTTTCTGACAAAGGAAATAATAAGTGTAATAAGAGAAAAAAAAATTAATTTCCTGCCTTACAGATTTTAGTCAGTTTTTCTTTTTTTGGAACATTTATATGTTTCACATCTTCAAGCTAATTTGAATATCTGATAATACATTTTGTGTTTTCCTATCAATTAACTGTCTTGCCCTTTATTCAATAGCTTCCATGTTTTCTAAAAAATTGTTTTAATAATATTCACAACTCAGTAATGCAAGTAATATTTCCAGAGGAATTATTAAACCTGGGGTGTCCAAACTTTTTGGTCACATGGGCTGAAATTGCTGCGCCAAAAGTACTCACAGGCCACGAAAAAAACAAAACAAAAACAAACAAAGATCAGGCAAATAAAGTTGTCCTTTTTTGTAGTAAAGGAATATTATTATTTTTAGATCCAAAAAATAAGAATGAATTTTGTAGAAATTTGTTTTTTGGCTCGATTGAGCAAATTAAGCAAATTGAGCAACATTTGGGTCACTTCCTTTCAAAATATTTTCTATGTTTAGCCAAGTTTAGTATGTCAGATGAAAGCTAATTTGGGTGCAGCAAAGTCAGCTTTTCGATAAAAGTCTCTGGATAAACGTGGTCCTATAAAGCTTGGTTATATGAAGGCAACAACATTGAGTTGTACTTAAAATTTTCCATTTCAAGAAAATGTTTACAAATACTAAACATCAAGTACTTGCACTGGATGAGTCACATTTGTATGATTATTGAATGACAGTTGGGAGAGGGTGCACACAAATTCAATCAAATGGCCACAAATGGCCCCCAGACCACACTTTGGACACCCCTGGTAAAAACGTTATGTTTCAGGAAGCTGTAAATACTTACCCATTGGGCTTGAGAAAATGAAACAGAGGGGATAAGACACTCTCCCATCCACATGGGTGTATTTGTAGCTGTAGACAATGTATGTAAGCTGTTGTCAAGGAGAATCGCCTATCTTTTTAAAACTGCACAGACCTTTCAGTTTGAATGGTAAAAACTTTGAGAATAATCTGGTCCCAAACCACAAAGTGAACCTTTGTGATGGAGTGAGCGTCTACTCTCACGACCTGCACAGGTTTTGCAAAAGACTGGGGAAAATGTACATTAATTTCTATCCCTTTTTGATGATCATTGCTGTTTCTCTCTATGTCAGCATCAGCAAAACTCCCAGCTCTCTATGAAACTTTTAACTCTCTTAGGATATCTGGGTTGGCGCTCGGGAAGCTCATTTCTCAGGTCGTCCAGTGAGATATCCTGGAAGACAGTGAAGGATGTAAGTTACTTCAAAGCAGAATAAATAAATGCAAATGTAGAAGGAGTATCAGGTTTTATTTGTATGTTATTAAAAAGGCCATGTCGGAAAATAGAAATAACACCAATCAAACCCTTCTATACTAATCCTTAGCAGATTTTGACATGTTTTTTTGACTGGTATTTTGATGATTTATTTTTGATGCTGATCTCTAATTCTTTGAAGGCTTCTGTTGCATCACCTTAATTCAGGACAGGAAATTGGCTTGATTGCTCCAAAACAATATAACTTCCATACACGAGATGGCTAACTTACCTCATACTCCTCCTCGAGGATAACAAGCTGTTTCGCCATATCTATTTTAACTGAAATAAAAATAACCTTCTTTATTACTGTTGAAGAACTAAAGTATTGATTGTATTACATTTGGAAAAAAAAGAAATTGAATATTTTTCACCAGAATACAGTTCTTGCAGTACTTACTGAGTATGGCTGCATTGTTGGTTTCTTTTCGAAATCTGAACTTTTTCAGTTTTTCTCTCAGACTTTCTTCCACCTCGCACACGACCAGAGAGCTTGACTGCAAACAGGTTGCAAGAATATATCTGTCAAATAAAGTACTCGAACTATGACCTAATCAAAAAAAAAAGCCAAAATAGCGCCTTACATAGATGAGTTAAACTTTCATAGCAAATTTGATCATTCTGACATGCTAAGAGCAGGAAGTGTCATTCTGCACGAGCGAGAATCTAGTTTCCTGTTTGAAGATGAGAGGCAAATGGTCGACTTTTGCATTGGTACTAAAGTTAAATCGATGTATCTACATTTTTCAATTCTTATAGGTAAAATTTCATGAAGTCCAGTGAAACTAAGCTGCATATCTAAACTCTAAAAGCCATTGCATTGACTCCACCTACCATCTTGAAAGGATCCTGTCCTGTGTGACACTGCCTTGCTGAAACTGCAACAAACAGCTTCTGTCAGATTGTCAGCAGATCCTCCTTCTGTTGACGAGGGGAGGGCAGAAACGCAACTCGAGTCTGCAGCACGACTCTTTCCTCTTTTTACTGACATAACATCAGTCATAGTATTGCACAAGCACAGCTGCAAAAATGTTGTTCTTTGTCGCTGAACACAGAAAGAAATCAGATTATTTTCAGGATTTCCAGGGCTTTTGTCTTGCATGTCATTGCCACCTACTTACTTTCACTTCCAAATTTCACACAGATGTATGTGGCTGCGGAAATGTGGAAATGTATGTGTTCCGAACGAATCGGCCAACCTGATGTATGTAAACTGAAAACAGGAAGGGGTCGAGTACTAATCTCTGAGGTACTCCATGTCAACCCAGCGTTTAAGTTTTGTGAGCAATGACAAGATCTGCATTTGGGATTTGGGTGAAATAGATATCAACCCATAATTTGATATCTATTATGGGATATCTATTTGATATACATCAGGGGTGCCCAAGTCCAGTCCTCGAGAGCTGCAACTTTTAGAGGATCCTTACTCCAACAGACCGGAATCAGCTCTACAGAGGCCTGATAACGAGCCATTCATTTGATTCAGGTGTGTTGAAGCAGGGATGCATCTGAAAGTTGCAGGATGGTAGCTCTCGAGGACTGGACTTGGGCACCCCTGAGCTACATTTTTTGCAACTGGTGCTGCATTTCACTTATAGTTGGAGCTTTCGAGTTGGAAAAATCAATTGGAACAAAGTCGGACATCTCACTCGGAAAGTCGGAGAACTTTTCGAACGCCAGCTTCGAGATCCAAAATGGCAGCTCCTCACATCAGCAATTACACATTGTGGTGAAAACATGTTTATTTTACAAAACATGCATGTAAGTTTTAGGAGTACTACTACCCTACATTTTTACTTGAGTAACATTATCATGAAGTATCACTACTAATTGAGTAAAATTTCTGGATACTCTCTACCCACCGCAGGTAACTTTAATATATGAAGTACAAATGCGTTTTAACTTATTTACAAAAAAAAAAAAAAAACACTAGACACAGACACACACTTTATGTTAAAATTGAGACTTTTTGTTTGTACACAAGCTTTGCTGCTATTTTATTGTATTGTAAACTGGAACTAGTTTGTCCTTTTCTACATATATCACACTCTATTAGTTTCATAATTTTTACATTAAAAATATTATTGAACATTTTGTCCTCTGCTTGAATGTATTGAATTTCACAATTATGTTATTCATTCATATTAATTTTGTGATTTTATAACCTGTTTGTCTGTGTGATTACATTTTTAAATATTAAATTTACCCTCTGATTAATTTCTCAACCTTTTTGCGAAATGCTCATTTTGACTGTCATTTGAGTAATTTCTTGGACGGCTACCTTTTACTTTGAGTAAAAAACGTTGAAGTAGTGTTACTCTTACTCGAGTGTGGTTTTTGGGTACTCTACTCCTCTACCCACCTCTACTTAAAAAAAAAGTACATGCCAGACCACATACTTGTGTTCCATTTACAGACAAATTTACAAAAATAAATAAATAAATCAACCAATCAATCTCCTACGGGAACGACCACCATAAGCCTACGGAGGCTATATGACTTTTGTAAGGTTTTTTTTTTTTTTGATAACCTACAAACTGTTCACCCGTCAATGGAAGCTTTTGAAAGGTCTGGAACAGTGGGCGGAAAACCATCTTACGTACGTGAAAACGTATGACACTGTGCCCACGTCTTACGTCAACTCAAAATCGAAGAGGATTTCTCCAGGCGTACACTCCTTATTTTCTGTATCCCAACTAGCATTTTTGTATATACGCTTACTCAAAAATGTTGTATTTAAGACAACAGTTTCTCGCCACCGCCAATGACAATTCTTAAGGGTTATTATGCGTGGGGATAAAAACAAGCGTTTCTGCCAACTAAGCTAACGTAACTGCAGCCGTTAGCAGAACTATTCCTACTCTTCTGTCGAGCTAGCTGTGGATTAGCACTTTAGCCTAGCTCGCTAACCAGGCACATCTGAGAAAGGTAAACAAATTTTCAAATTCCATGTATTGTAAATAACAGCTTATGGTTATTTGTGTTGTTATTTAGCCTTTGCCTTATCTCAAGAGAAATTACCTTTAGTTGGACCGCTTTCGTCGCAAATTATTTAAGTACCAACGGAGAAAAGGTGTAGCAGCAGCGTCAACGCAAAACAATACAAATCCCGAATCCCTCACCAGAGACTAGGCCGACTAGGCTAACTCCAGTTTACCACTATTAAATATGCTCAACTGTTTGAGGACAGGTTTTGCTTTAATTGTCACTGTTAAAATCACGATTCACACACCCACTACTTCCAAATTACAATCGACATATGATACAGAGCTTAGTTTTTATTTTATAATGCTAAGAGAGCTACCATTTGCCGTGATGGGAGTTAGCTCTTTTGACATGTATTTAAATCTCACATTCCCTTTGCCGTTTAGATGTGATCTGATCAAGAGAACAATTTTCTCTTGATCAGACCATTTGTATTATAATTATATCATAGAGAGACAAACTTTGTTTCTCGTTTTATAACAGTATACTTTGGAGTAATACTTTTTTCTTTCGCTGTTAACTAATACAGAGTATAATACTCGCCCAAGGAATAGTTGATTTATTGGTTTCCTTTTACATACGTTTCTTCTTATTGGAACATGTGTTTATTCAGACATACTTGGGAAGCAACTTTTTGATTACTGAACTCTTGAAAGCTTTTATTTATGTTCGATTCTTGGTCACTGGCTTTGCATTCATATTATTTCATAATTGTCTTCTCAAATTTTCTCTCAGTGAACGTTTTGAACTTCCTTATTCATAACTTATGCATTTTCATAGGTGGAAGAACCTGCTATTCCTAGAAATTGCATTGATACCACATTAATTTTTTAGCATCACGTCCCAACCACGAACGTCAATGTGTTTTATGTGTTGAGCAACACAAAGCAGCAGCAGCGCATAACTGTGAACATGAATGCTTTTACAAAAAGCAATCTGAAAAAAATAAAACATGCATTGGTATAGAACTTAGTAAAAAAAATTCAGCCCACTTTGGAACCACCAAGACATGTTTTTGCTTTATATAGCTGAAGTTAAGTCAGATTGGGTTGATAAATAGCTTTTGTATTTTATTTTATTTTATTTTTTTTTAATCTCCAGATCAGATTCTCAATTGGATTTCAGGCTGGGTTTTTACTAGGCCATTCTAACACATAAATATGCTTTCATATAAACCATTCTATAACATTTCTGGTAGTTTGTTTAGGATTACAAACCTCCACCCAGTCCTGTATTTGACTCCAAATATTTTTCCCATCCACTCTGACCAGCTTTCCTGTCGAGCACAAGCATCCAAAACAGCATAATGCTGCCACCACCACCCTTAGTGGTGGATATGGTGTATTCACAGTATTGTGCAGTTTTAGCTTCCTGCCACGTTAAGCAGTGCTCCAAAAGATGCTCCAGGTTTATGATGTATCAACCTAATAATGTTTTAAACTGTTCCATCTGTTAGTTTTAGTGATTTTGCTGACTAATATTTGTTAAACTTGTTATCCTAAGATACTGTATTTATACTAAGATAAGGTAAACTCCATTTATTAACTTGGTGACTTTTACTATATAGACAGTTGGTTGCACTGGGTTTTATGTTGGGTGATTTGGAGGGCTACAGGTTATTTTAGTAATCAATTATTCTATCTATTCAGGTGATTAATCGATTAATTGGCAAAAAAATATAGATGCAGCTTTTTCATTTAACCACTTAAGCCTTTTTGTACAATAGTAAAAATACATTTATAGATGCAAATAGTTTAATTAATTTTAACTTTTTATTGCATAAAATACAATAGCATATAATTCCTTTAGTGTATGCTTGATCATTTGCAGCAAAGGATGTATCTGCAGCTTTAAAAATACTTCCGACTTCAACATGTGAAAAGCGCCTCCCTTTCTGCAGTACAGTGTAGATTCAATCTGTTGACTATTTTTGAATTAACCAGTTATTAATTGGATCGCAAAAATTGGAAATTGCAAAATTGGAGATTTATTTAACACGATTTGAACTGGATGAAGCTAAAACTGTGCCACTTAAGGTGGAGCATATAGTTTGTTTTAATCGTAAATGCAAAATAAATATTTTTTTGCAGTTTTGCTTAATTCCTACTCTGAGTGTGTTGTTCCTTCAGCAATTATCCTTTTTCTTTTGAGTTTGTATACTCCAGTTAACCATTACTTGATTATTAAATTAGTTGACGATTATTTAAGTAATCTATTCATCACGATTAATCATTTCAGCCCTAGTGATTTGAATATAGGGTTTAATACAAATGTCCATCACCTTTTCCAGATTTTTTTTGTTTTTTAAATTGCAAAAGTTTTAAAAATGATGCATCGTCTTCCTTCCAGCTAGCGGCTATATGAAACTTTGTGTCGGCCTATCATAAAATCCCAGGTTTGTGGTGCTCTATGTGAAAATAACCTCAAACACAAAAATAAATGCCAGTGATTTAACACTGGTATTTATTTTTTAAATTGTTTTAAAAATTGTATTCTTACATACAAACAATTTTGAGAATTGTTTTAACTTTATTTTGTTGATCTAAATAGGGCACAGATGACGTGAAGTAACACAGCTCCTCCGTCGTGAGCCATTACCTGCTACGGCTGACGCACAGTGACCATTGAGACATCTTAAAAAAAACAAAAAAACAAAAAGAAAAGAAAAATCCCAGACAGCATTCGTGTCTGCAGCTCCTCCAGCACCTGAACCATGTGAGGGGGCCCCCTCGGTCCGACCTGAGGGGAACCCTGGACTGTTGAAACGACGACCCTCTGACCCCCGCTGTGCGGGGAAGGGCTCATCCCGTCTCAAACTTAACACCCCCTCCCCTCAGATCCCCGCCCGCACTTTCCCACTCTCCCCGCGCCATGATGTTCCGGGATCAGGTAGGTATCCTCACAGATTGGTTCAAAGGCTGGAATGAGTGCGAACAGACGGTGGCGCTCTTGTCGCTCCTGAAGAGGGTGTCCCGCACGCAGGCTCGCTTTCTCCACATCTGCCTGGAACACTGGCTGGCAGACTGCACTGAGATCCACATCCTTGAAGCTGAGGCCAACAGTGCAGGTAACCCAGATTTACCGTTTGACTTAAGGGTTTGAACAATTAATCATCTTACAACTAATTATCGATTTACTGGTTTATTAGGTTAAAATTAGTTCCAATCGGACATTTAAGGTGTTCAGTTTGACCTTCTCTAAGTGTTGTAGTTTGGCTGCCATCCAACAGAGGGCGGCACAACTTATTTTTAACAGAGCCAGCTGATCCGGGAGGAGAGATGGCAGGGCTGATTTTGAACAGGAAAGAGAGCAACCAAACAGAGTCCGGTGTAAGATGTAATATTTATTTTATGCAGTTCTGTTTTGAATATTTAGCTTTACAAGCACCTGAAAAATTCCTTAAGTTTGCCCTTCATAGAGCGTATTCAGCCGAGCTGCATGACAGAGCTTCTGAACCAAAAAATACTGATGTGCTATGAAGGTTGGGATGACGTGACAGAAAAGCGAAGGGCATAACAGAAAAACAAGCACGGTTGAGTTTGAGAGCTGTTGTCGGTTAAAGTGCTTTATGGAGTGAAGTTTTCACATTCATGAATGCTCTGTTCATGGGGAATTAAATGTGTAATATATTTTATTGTTTTTCATCTTTTATTTTTCTGGTAAGCAATGCTTTAAGGGGTTCTATTAAAATAACAAATATCTATCTGTTATTTTTAATAGATATAATATTATGTTTCTGTTTATTCAATCTGTTTAATACAACTGACCCAAAATATTGTAAAAATGTAATTATGCTGGGTGCAGCCATGATGCAAAGGTAAAGTGCACGGCGCCTACAGGAGCCTCAGTGCTCCACACGCCGACGCTGGTTGAGTCCCAGCTGTTGACGCATGTCTTCCCCCTCTCATTACCTGCTTCCCTGTCTGACCACACTCAAATACAGGCCACCAGAGCAAGAAATAACCTTTAAAAATTTTTTCATCCCTTTACGCTATGGAAAGTAGGGCTGTAGGATAATATCGATATCGCAATATATATTGATATTTTCTTTCCTAGAAAAAAATCGATATTCATCCGCAAGTATCGTAACATCCAACTGTCATCTTGCTCACTCACTGCTTGCTTCGCCGGGAGAGAGATTAGGTCATCAGGCTTAGAGTGATTCCTTCAGATGTTAAGTGTCGAGGTAAAAAAGGTATCAAACTATTCAGAGCAGGGTACTTGGTGCACTTTATTTACTTTATAAATCCATGCAAGCTACAGTTTGTACTGTTTCAATTAAAAGAAACATGTTTTCTCACCACTTCTTTGATTCTTTTTGTCCAGCTGTCGACTTTAAGTCTGTGTCCATGTCCAACCAGAGCCAGGTATTGTGTAGTTGGTGCTTTTAATCAGTTTTCAGTTAAATTAATTCAATCCAACTCTATATCACCAAAATCACTCTGTCCCTCTAAAATCTTTCAGAAAATAGCAAAAGTGTATTGAATTGTATCGTTTGATGAATATTGCAATATATATCGTATCGTGGACAGAATATCGTGTATCGTATCATATCGTAAGATTACTGTATCACTACAGCCCTAATGGAAAGACTGTCATCCCTCTTCATACAAGAGAAAACTCAGATTTTTAATAATCAATTAATTGTTAGTCGATTGATAAGATCAGTCGACTGCAGATTAACTCAGTAATCAGTAAGTGACATCCTATGTTTTGCTATCTTTAAGTAACTGGTATAATAATGAAACTGGTTTACTAAGTAGGAAAACATTCATTAATTTAGCTTTTTTTTTTTTTCTTGTATTAATCAGCAACCGTCAGTCAGTGGCATCAGGAGCCGAAAGAAAAGGTGGTGTCCCTGCTGCTGTCCCACTTGCCTCTGCTTCAACCACGTAATTGTGAGGCCAAATGTGAATACATGAAGCTGCTGCAGAAAGTGTTGACTCACACCATTGAGAGTAGCTTATTCGTGGAGGAAAGCCGGCAGCTGCTCTCCTATGCACTCATTCACCCCGCCACCACCCTGGATGATCGCACCTCGCTCGCCTCGTGGCTAAACCACCTGGAGGAGCATCTTTCCAGCGGCTATGCATCCAGGGCGCCACCCAGCCCTTACCACCCGCGCCAGGGCTCGGACGAATGGCCCGGCTCAGCCGAGGCCCTCGACCCCGGCAACGCGTGGCCGGACAAGTCCCCGTCGTCCAGCACGTCTCCTGCGGGCCAGAACGGACACATGCCGTTCCAAGGCGGGCTGTCCTCACCGATCAGTGGCAACGGCAATAACACAGGTATGGGTGGTAAGCTTTTGATTTGAGTCAAATGTGCTAGGACAGTGTTGGCCGCCAGGGGGCGTCATGGGGGGCCTCAGAGAGTTTGGAGTCATGAGAAGAAATATGCAGGAATAAAAAAAAAACTGAAACCCATAATTTTTAAAATCTTTTATCATAATTTTTGTTTTCTGTTTTTCAAGCATTTATTATTTTCTGGCAAAGAAAAAGACCCAAAGAACTGCTGCAAGAAAAAATATTTTTTGGTCTGGTCAAATAAAATTTTGTGATTTTATATAAAATATTACTTACTTTCTTATAATCACAAGAAAAGATTGTGTTGAAAAATGTTATTTTTTTTGGTAACAGTCATAATATCTGATAATATTTCCTGCACAGAACTCATGACCATCTAAAATCAAAGGTATGATGCAGCATTTATGCAAAATGAATATCATCATTTCTTGAACAGTTGATCAAAAACTTTCTAAAAGTTGATGTTTCTTTGCATTTTTTGTAGCATGTGGGTTTCCAAAGTGGGTCTCTGTCCAGTGGTTAATTCTCTGTGGGGGGCCACGGCATGGAAAAGAAGCCCGGTGCTAGAATACCGCTTTTGTAATAGAGATGGCTACGAGTGTTAAAAATATGTTGTTGTTTTTTTTTATTGCTTTTCCAGGTCTAGTCGGACACATGCAGCCAAGCCCTCTGAAGAAGCCCATGCAGGTCATCCCTTCCAATCCCCAGACCTATGGCTCAGAGTGGAGCAGCCAGGATGACGCGGGGGGGCGACAGAACTTCATCTCCACAGACCACGCACCGCTTTCACCTCAGAGCAGCATAGCGTCTTCAGGCAGCGAGCAGACAGAAGAGCAGGGCTCTGCGCGCAACACTTTCCTGGAGGATGGCAGTGGCATGAAAGGTCAGAATTAGCTCTCGTTTGGCTCTGGTCACATTCATCATGTTGTACACTATAGTACAACCTTACTGTTGACTGTTCTTTCAAGATTTTGTGTACTTTGTTGTGTTGATTCGTTTTGTCTTTATTGCTATTTAGACAATGAGCAAAAATTAGATTTGTGATTCTTTCTGCAACCCATGGCTCTTCAGCCCCAACCTCTTTGATCTGATTTGAGAATTATGTTATAATGTTATTCCCTCATCAAAAACATTCCTGGAGTTTTGCCTTGTTTCTTTTATGCATGTTTAAGAAATCCTTTAATCTCCCGTAGCAACCAATCAGGTGTGCAAAACACCTGGGTGAAGCTAGTTCTGCCTTCAAGACGCAGCTCCTCCTTGTAGCTGCAGTTCCCAAGCTTTCCAGCTTCCACCTCACAGACCAGCCCTCCCACATCCCTCCCCCACTCAGTTCCTTCAGACTATTCAGGGTTTGGGTCGGCAGGAGGAGACTCTGTCCAGTGTTTACAGGCTGTACAGTAGTAAACTCTTCTTCCTCTTCTTCCTCT